GCAGTCACTAACAACAGCAACAACAGTATATCCTGCATCAAAAAGTTTTGAAATAACAGTAAATAAAAGTTGTTTTTTCATTTTAACATCAAAATCCATGTAAACTGGTTGTTTCCATGATGCAAATAGTCCTCTTGCCATCATTACTAAAACTTGATTATTGGGTCCAATAACTTTATCCCTCACTTTATCATATTCATATATATGCTTTACCTGAAATATCAGTAAAATGTTAAAACAGAAAATTAAAATAATTATTGAATTATGTGGTTTTATCAATATGAGTACAGTATATACAGTATTTACCTTCATCTCATCAAACTGAAGAACTGTAAGTTTTTCTTCTTCTGAAAGTTCAAAGCCTTTAATTTTCATGATGTTTATAACATCATTTAATATGCCTTGATAAAGATTTATTTCTGAAGCTCATCGTTGAAGTATCGAAACTGCAGGTAACGGGTTAATAAACATATTTTATCCGTAACCATATTCTGTAATTTTTACACAACGAAGAGTAACGACTACAACAGAATATCGAACGGTTCTTGAAACACTTTTGTTTCTTTCAAACAATTTTTATCGATATAATTAAAAACATAATTATGTTTAATAATAGTAATAACGATAAATATATTTACCTTCGAAGATTATGAGTCCAAAAACGCTCAACAAAGTAAAAAGATAGCAATATTCCAAAATTTCCTTTCCTTGTTTACAGTAGTAAAGCAGTAGCTAGACCACGGCTCGACTACGGATCACGTATATGTGGAATCTGGCAGGGAGTGCCTAAATTGTCTGTATGAGGCAACCTTATATTATAAGACCTTCAGTTGACCTATCAACAGACAGGTGTTTTCCAAACCTTTGTGAAAAATAAAAAATGTCTACGTTATACGATTTACCACGCACGGAGGAAGAATCTATATTGTTTTATCAAAAGAAAAATATTTTACCTAATGCTCGAATATGCAAAAATAAGCATGAAATGAAATTAAATATGTCTAAAGGTGTTTGGAGATACACCATAAGTAGCTGTGATGTAATAATAAGCATCTGTTCCAATAATTGGTTTAGCTGATCACGGATACTATTTTTAACGGCGGTACGATTTATTTACCATTGGACAGAGGAAGTTACGTGTATAAGGTGGTGTCGAAAAACATCTAAATATTTGCAACAAAACAACTATAGACTAAAATACTTTTTGAAAAAATATGGCTGCCGCAAACTATATGCCAGTAATAAGTAATAACGTAAATGGCTATGTAGACAATACTTTAAAATAAACGATAATTTAAACTAATTTAATTGTTTGTTAACTTCTTCTCAAAAATATTGCAAAGTTTTAATTAACAACGTTGAAATAACAAAACTAAGTTGATAACACCTGTGTTGGTAGGTTAGCAGGCCGAGTTAATTTGTTTCGAGGGAATACATGTACTAGTTTAGATGTTGGTCGCTAGCACTGCGCCACCATCTGAAATGAAGACTCACAAGTACCTATTATTTTAATTCTAGTATGCTAGATATAGCTATAATAGCCAATTCTACTCAGAAAAATCCATGACCACTCACTGACAGCACGGTCATGTCACTGTTGTGTGTAAATACTCATCACTGTGACAGCGATTTCGATAACTACCGTGCTCGACATCGCTGTCACAAAACAGTCAGTGTGCTGGCACGTCACTGTTGTATGTAAATCGACCCTCTACTCTTGCAAAAAGTAATAGTAGCGAAGATTAAAAGTATTAAATCATAGCGAAACTTACCCGTTTTCACCGAATGCAAGAATGACGAGTCTTTTTGTTTTCGAGAATAATTAGAGTATTTTTAGATGGGATGTGTCAAAAAATCTGTTCGACTTTCTGCAAAAATGCAAAAAAACGTATTTAAAACAGTACAGTAGAAGCCAAGTTATTCAGAGTGATCCTTCACCCTTTTTTCCCGCGGAAAAGGATTTTCACAAATTTCTTCTTATTGTACATTCTCATAACGTACCCTAATTGTGTACCAAATTTTAACTTTCAACTTCTAACACGTGGTTCAGTGGAGTCACAACATACAGTAAATTCAACTACGCTTGTCGAGATTCATGACCTCACAAAGTAGCGACATCTCGTGGTAAAAATCAGAACTACGGGTACGGCATCGTTCTGTAAATATTCGCTATTTATACTACGTAGATGGTCACAGTTTAAATCTGCGCTATTGTTGAAGTACGATTTTCTGTAAACAAAAGTATCAGTATTACTCGTGTACATTTCATTAGCATTCAAAAATACACACTAATAATTACATTAAAAATTCTAATAACGTATCTAAAAACACCGAGAGTAAAAGAAACAAGAAAATAACGACACGTGAGAAGTATCGATGAAATACGTACCACAATTCGCTAACTGATTTTCAGTACAGCGATTTCAAGCAGATATTATTGGTGGAAGAGTCGCGACATTTTTTTTCAATTTGATATCTTATTATGGATTTAGCTTCTTTTGTCGAAATGCAAACATTGCTAATCAAGTTCAAAAGTTGTTCTATTAACTGTGGTTCCAACATGAAGAATCTAACCAACGGCAGAAACGGTCTTATTATTTCTCCCGTCGAAATGTCGTCGTTCGTTTTTCTCAGTTTACAAAATTTCTGCTCGACCCACTCGAAAAGCGCATACACCAAATCAGATTCCTCTACTGTGAAAAAGTCGGAAATCAATAACCTGTAAATGCTGCTTTCTTCACATTGTTTGAAATCGTCTGTGTGGAAATAGTTCTTTTCGAGCCAATGAAAACTTTCCCAACAATGAAACTGCAATTGTTTTTCGTTGTGTCTGCAAGCAAAATCGTGGATGCGACAAATGTTTTTGCAGATATTCGGCTGTGTAAGATAATGGAAACACATTCTTTGCAGTTTTCTAATAAAGTAACGTTTGCCGATGAGGTACATTTCGATTCCGTTATCCGCAGAAGTAAAAATAACATCTTCTGTCTCCAAAAACCTGAAACGAAACATTTATAAAGTTAAACATTATAAATAATTTGCATATTTTATATTATTTTACATTTTTTCGCGTAAAAATCAAATTGAAAATAATCGGAAACACGTAAGTTACCTTTCGGAAGAATTGCCTTATTGTTTTGTCTGCAAATAACACGAAAAATAAAATTTCAGATGAATAGAAATAGAAATGCCCAGATCCGACCGTTGCAATTAAAATGTCCCATTAATATAAATCATTTTCACGAAAATATATTCCAACGAAGTAATGTGAAATTTTGAATTTAAATTGAAATTGATATACTTGAAGACATCGCGACATTCTTTGATTAATGAAAACATTTTAAAAAGCACGGAGGAATATTAATGTCGGAGGAAAATGAACAAAGAAAACTATTAAGTGTGACGTTAAAAATTTCGTAATGTCTAAAACAGTGTTTTTCAACCTGTGGTCGCGACCCCCAAGGGGGTCCCAAAGCCTTACACGGGGGGGTCGCGGGTGAAAGAAAAAGACAAGTGTTTGTAGGTCCTACACTACAATAAAAAAATCTAGAATTTCAGTGAGAAGGCTGTGCCTGTTTATTTTACAGTACAATTGGTTTTTCGATCGATATTTAAAGAAAGAAAATTAAATACGTAGTTTTTAGAATCACTGATATAGTTTTAATATGGCCCTGGGGGGTCGCCAAAATTTTTTAACTTGTAAAGGGGTCGCGTATTCAAGAAGGTTGAAAAACACTGGTCTAAAATAGATCCAAAATTTCAGAAAGACCTTCAACCATTCAGTCGATTTTTATAAATTTTTCAAAATATCCTCGTAGTTGGTCATGCGTGAGTATGCCAGTTGGACTTCACACCGACCAAACCCTTTATTAATCACGATTGCTAATTGGCAGAAAATCGCATTCACGACATCGTTTGGTCATGCAATATACTAAGTAATGATTTATTAACTGTTTCGTTATTAAATAATAAATGAATTTCACGAATAATTGCATTATTTCGATTCAATAAATTTTTTTCGTCCACTGCAAATTATTTTAAATGATTACACGATTTAAAAAAAAAAGACTTTTCTTTTATACGGATTTTTCGTATTGTTTCGAGGTAGATTTATACACTAAACACTAAAAAACGTCTGTATAATAAATTCGTACAAACCCTGCAAATTCATTCAGCATTTCTAATGTTAGAGGTAATTTCAGAATAAACTTCATTTCATTCGGACACACAATTAAGAAGTTTTTCAGCAATCCTCCATTTTGTATCAAAGATGTTCGTGATACGACGACACATTCTTCATTCTCATTGAAAATAGTCACTTCGTGAAAGTTAAATCGTTGTTCTTTCACGTTTGACATCATCTTTCGCCTCTTGGAATAACACGTGTATTAGTAGAAACTCGTACGAATAATAAAGAATATTCCCCGAATTTCTTAAATTTTAGTCAACGATTATCTTTCTCAATACTTGACACTCAAAACGAACACTTTTTTAAGTTACGTTCACCGGAATAGAAACGGTTACGTCAATCATGTGTTAGTTTTTATGCAAATGAGTTTACTAAATAGCTGATACTGAACACTTTTGGAAAATATTAATATACATAAATATTTATTGTCCTCAATTTTCCTAATTATCTGCTTATTCGATCATGTGAATTTCATAAGACATTTTAATAAATCGTAAATTTAAGTAAAATAAATTCTAGAGCTTTTTCTGTATTTCGTGCATCTCATTCATTAAATTTATTTGTAAACTAGCAGGTGGGCCCGGCGTTGCTCGGGCAAAAGTAACGATAACTAAGATAAAGATTATTACGTTACAGTCAACCTTATCCGTTTTCACAGAATGCAAGAATTGGGTCCCCTTGTTTCCAGACTAATTACAGAATTTTTAGATGGGTCTAAAAATATGTTCGATTTCCCGCAAAAACGAAAAAAACTGCATCTGCATATTGCACTTCGCTTTCTCTTAACAATTTCATTGTTACGTAGCATTTCCATTGTTGACACTTCCATTGTTACTTAAAACTTCTATTGTTACTTAACACTTCCATTGTTACTTAACACTTCCATTGTTGATTAGCACTTCCATTGTTACTTAACACTTCCATTGTTGATGGAAGTGTTAAGCCTTAATCCTGTCCCTCTCCCCCGTGGGGAGGAATTTCGAAAAATCCCTTCTTAGTGTGCGTTCTCCTAACGTACCCTAACTGTGTA